GGCCACCATATACCAAATCACATATAGGAGATACCACCATATACCAAATCACATATAGGAGATACCACCATATACCAAATCACATATAGGAGATACCACCATATACCAAATCACACATAGGAGATACCACTTAAGCCATATCAAAGACAGGAGATACCACCATATACCAAATCACATATAGGAGAGGCCACCATATACCAAATCACATATAGGAGATACCACCATATACCAAATCACATATAGGAGATACCACCATATACCAAATCACATATAGGAGATACCACTTAAGCCATATCAAAGACAGGAGATACCACCATATACCAAATCACATATAGGAGAGGCCACCATATACCAAATCACATATAGGAGATACCACTTAAGCCATATCAAAGACAGGAAATACCACCATATACCAAATCACATATAGGCGATACCACATTAAGCCATATCACAGACAGGAAATACCACCATATACCAAATCACATATAGGAGATACCACCATATACCAAATCACATATAGGAGATCCCACATTAAGCCATATCACAGACAGGAGATACCACCATAAGCAATATCACACATAGGAGAGGCCACCATATACCATATCACAGATAGGAAATACATCCATATACCATATCATTGATAGGAAATACCACCATATACCATATCACAGATAGGAAATACAACCATATACCATATCACAATTAGGAGAGGCCACAATAACCATATCACAGTTAGGAGAGGCCACCATATGCCATATCACAGATAGGGGATACCACCTTAAGCCATATTAAAGATATGAGATACCACCACATACAATGTCACAGATAGAAGATAACACCATATGCAATATCACATATAGGGGATACCACCATAAACCATATTATAGATATGAGATACCACCATAAGCCATATCACAGATAGGAGATACCACCACATACCATATCACAGATAGGAGATACCACCATAAGCCATGTCACTGTTAGGAGATACCACGATAGATCATATCAAAGAGTAGACACCCTTATAACCCACATCAAAGAAACCGCATGCAGTAAACCAAACCCCACGACAATCATCACCACACGTAGGAAACAACACCCGGGTTAGAATTTGTCTTCAGCAACCCATGCGTGTCGTTAGAGTCGACTATGCTTGCCTTAAGAGACTGACCAGGTTAATGCATGTCAGAGTATCCGAATTGCGTAGATAGATGCTCATGATGTAAATCACTGGATTGTCTGGTCCACTAAATTATTTACAGTCCGTCGTCATGCAGTTTGAATATTGCTGCGTGCGGCGATAAACAACTAACAAAAACATGCCACACTGCATACAGGAAAGACCACAATAAACCACAATTGTACTGTTTTGGAAGGATTGTACGACCGCCTCGGCCATTTACGGTCTGGAATCCGTCATGAGTAACCTCTTCGTGTCGCTTGCAGCTTGTGTTCACTTAACTCAAGATTGTTTTGATTCCTTCATCTTCCCGAGGTAAGGGATTTAACTGACCGTAAAGATCAAGTTTCCACTGGAGTATTAAAGTCAGTTTACTCCCTTATTTCCAGTGGACTTTTCCCTTGCCTCGGAAAGATGTATTACTTATGTGATTCAATAACTTTTGCAATGACATGTGCACCTTAAGGCTTGTAAGCCTTAGTTACATAACCCTTTTTCAATTCAAAACATTGTGTGCATGCATGTGCATGTGAACATACCACAGTTCTAATATGCATATCCCACTCAGGCAGCTCAATATATGCACATGTTAGACAATCGGGACACAATGACACAATCAGCCAGGCACAGAATCGGGGCACAATGACACAATCATGCAGACCCACAATCGGGGCACAATGACACAATCATGCAGACACACAATCGGAACACAATGACACCATCAGGCAGGCACACAATCGGAACACGATGACAATCGGTGCAAAATGACACACAATCAGGCAATCTTCCAATATATAACATATGACGTTCCTCTTTGAGGAAGCTAGATTGGTGGACACATTGTTATTATGACCGACATTAACTTCTGTGCGATAGATCATAGAGTTCTTGGAAGGATATCACATGGAAAATAGGACGTATCAACGAGTCGTGTCTTTGACAGTTAATTCAGCTGTTCATGTAGCCAATACAGGTTTGATTGCGGGAACACCAAACGTGGTTATGTAAGATATGACCAGCGTCCCTGATGACGTGTACAGTACAGTCGGGATAACATGGATATTACCTAATATACAGTGCATCGCTATATTGTCCAAGGTAGTGTGGCATTCGGCCCTTTATAAACATACAGGGTGTAAAATGTGAATCGAAATATAGACGCTAATATATTAAAAAGAACTTACCTTAACGTATGAATCATGGCTGACACACTAACAGCAATGTCTGTCTCCAAACAGCAGCCTCAGTATCCCTCAGGCGAAGTGTCGTCTGCCATGTCCATTTCATCTGAATAGTTGACAGTTTTTGCACGTGCTGCAAGCGTTTCAAGTCCAAGTTGTTACTCTTCCCACGTGCAGTTCATACGTGTACTTATTACATTTTGCTTGCCGTAAAAGGCGACTAACGGGATCGGGTGGTCAGGCTCGCTGACTTGGTTGAAGTGTGTCATAGTATCCCAATTGCGTGGATCGATGCTCATGATGTCAAATACTGGATTGTCTGGTCCAGACTCGATTATTTACATACCGCCGTCATATAGCTGGAATATTGCGGCGTCAAACAACAAACATACAAACATATTACATTGCAACATAACGTCCAACATAAATGTAACAAATGTTATATTAGGATAACACTTTCCTATTTAAGTACAGATTCCTTTTTGGGGACGAGTCCCATCCGGGATTCGAACCCACACAGCCAGAGTGAGGCACCTAATCGCCAGCACAGAAAGTCAGTGATCTATTCCACTCCGACACATAAGACTTCCACAACAATACATTTTTCTACAATTGGGTGAGAACAAGTTCATGACGTTCCATTGGTTTCTGATGTTTACAGTTCAAGGAATAACATTGTGGTTGCGTCAAAGGTCAAATATAGGTCAAAATTACGTAAAATGGGACCCGTGCTGAGCCCCACTACAAAGTACGTAACTGCCAAATTTCATTACATTTTGAAAGAAAATGTCAGAGAAATTTCAGATTTCAAAGTAATAAGGTCAAAATTTAAATTAACACAAAAAACGTATCTGTAGATCCCCTAACTAAACATGAATCACATTTCACTACATTTTGAACAATAATGGCCAAATGATGACCATAAAAATGTTTTTCAATATGGTTGCCATGTTGGCCCATTACATTGTTCAATGTGAGCGATGTTATGTATGTCATTGTTTCCACCTACTGCGCAGTAAACCTGACATGGCCATATACTCCAGTATGTCCAGATAACATGTCAAATGGCCTGTCGTAACAGGAGACTAACCGGATCAGGTAGTCAGGCAGCTGACTTGGTTGATGCATGTCATTCTATAACAATTGCGTGGATCGATGCTCATGATGCTCATGATTGTCTGGTCCAGACTCCATTATTTACAGACCGCTGTCATGTAGCTGGAATATTGCTGAATGCAGTGTTAAACAACAAACGGACGAGACCTTATTAATTCGATCAAGGGAGACTGACATTTCTTATATTAGCTTACTGATTTACAGCTATGCAAACTTTCCATGTCTCATTATTTGACCTTCAGTGAAACCAAAAAGATGATGCGATCAAGACCCTGTCTGAGACATCATGTTTACTATGTTTCATCAAATTCCGTATCAGTAGTCGACCGCCTCTGTGGTCTAGTGGATACAGCATCTGCCCAGAGTAAAGAGCGTGGGCTCAATCCCCAGCCGCATCATACCAAAGGATGTCAAAAGATGGTACTTGTTGTTGCCCTGCCTGGAGCACTGCAAGCAAGGGTTAAAACAACGACTGGTGTCAGTTTAATACGGTTTCTGAGTGGGGTATTCATGTTAAAACTGTGACAGGATATCTCAGTGGGCTAGCACTATAAAATCGGCATTAGTCCAGACTAGTCCAAGTAGACAGTACAGACACATACACATGCATGCACAACACTATATACCGTATTCGACGTAATAAGCGCCCCGCTCTAATAAGCGCCCACGGCGATATTTGCGAATATATTGGCTTGTGAACAATCCCAATTAGCACCATTTCCGATTGATCTATGTTCACAAGACTTATTTATTCGCGTATAATACGTGTGTTATATGCATCCTTAATAATGGGAAATACAATTCTTGAAAAATATATCTGTCGTATATAAACATTTCAGGCTGTCAGCATAAACCACGAACTTTACGATCTTTCAACTCTGTTTTTTTTCTCACCAAAATAATATTCTTTGTAAGAAACCCCTATTTCTAATTTTGAGAACGCCCAGGGCGCTTATTATGTCGAATATGGTAAGTGCAATAATCTTGAATGCGACCTTAAACCCCATTACACGTTACCTATAAATAGTCGAGTTATCACTTTTTTGACAGGAAGTTCAAACTTGACCTTGACCTTAAATGTACTCCAATCTTTTGTCAAGTCTCTAAAGTCTGTCATAGGCATGTGCTTGAACTCAAACACATTAAGCAGCACTCACAGGAGGTGGGTCTAATATTGAGCAACACAAAACATTAATTGGACAAAAATCTGGAAAGCAGAAAACAAAAACAATGTTGCCTGTTCAAGGATTTGATCAGAAACAAGGTTGTCAACCATCAACATAAGCAATGCTTCAGCTCAATACATCAAAGACAAATTAGTCCCTTTGCCATAGTTCAGTTTAGCTTTATTCTGCTATCAAAGAAGAGAATTACAGCATAGATGTGTTATTAAACAAAGGATTTAACCTTCACGATAGAGGCATTATACTAACTGTGTTGGTAGTCTCAAGATAAGAATTCTTTATCCAAGATGGTGGCAAGCTTTTAAGGTTGTCAAAAGCACAAATGAAAACACACAATGGTAGAATTTTATATCTGTTTATTGGAACAAAATATAACAAAAAATATTCTTGTTATTGGCAAAGAAAACCCATTGATTGACATACAAATACGTGTTTTCTTCAAATCGCAACCGATTAAAGGTTTGAAGTGTTTCTTCACATGAACTTGTCAACATTTACATGTTCAGGATTTCAGTCAAGTAAAACGTCTTTCATATAATTATGAATTATGAACCAGAGGTAAGGGCTCAAACTCTGAAGCCATAACCATACAACAATAATAATATAAATTCAACAGTCATACAATATAAAAATAATAACTGCCATGAAATGTGTTAAAAATTACCTGAAAATAGAACTTCATATTGCTACATTCCACTAAAACATAAACCAAATGTTTGAGTTGACAGCCCAGCAGTAAGTACCCAGAACCAAGACATGCCACAGTATTGTCATGGCTCACATGCAAATGGTATTCAACCTAGCTATGTTGAAACTACCCTACAGATGAGATGTGTCATTGCTAGAGTGAGCCAGAACGCCACACTACCAGTTGAATGGTACAAGCATGAGCAAACGCCAAAATGTTTACTTTGGGTAAATGATTTGACCAACAGAGTTGTGATTACCATAATGTGGGACCAAGAGTCCTTATCCTACACAATGTGTAGAGTTCTGACAGGCGGCAACAAGTGTCTCCTGATAAAGGCAGTTCTAAAGTTTCTAATAGCTACGCCACTGAGACACCCAGGACTGACACTTGTCTACTTCTTCTGATCCGCCACCTTCTGTCGCAGACGGCAGTACTCCTGCAACCTGCAAAGATGGAGATTTGGACATCAGCACCTAACGGACATGAAATGAACTGTCACTTGAAAAACAAGGAGTCAAAATGGTTTTCCATGGAGCCAACAGAACTGCCATGTTAACACTAACACTTCAGGTTCAGAGAAGCGGTGGCAATGACAAATGCTAGGTGTTGAGTTTTTTTATAAGTTGGAATATATTCAATTAACCTTTTGGAAGTTTCGTGTCTGGTCGAGTTGATTAGCTTAAAGTCACTAGTGTTCATTGCACAGGCTTCCTGCATATGTTTCCCTCTTGAAAAACGCCAGTTACAAAATCAGTATTCCCTGCTAAAGTGTGTACCAGTGTGTATTGTGTTTACCAGTGTGTGGCAGCATGTGTTGTGTTTACCAGTGTGTGGCAGCATGTATTGTGTTTACCAGTGTGTGGCAGCATGTATTGTGTTTACCAGTGTGTGGCAGCATGTATTGTGTTTACCAGTGTGTGACAGCATGTATTGTGTTTACCAGTGTGTGACAGCATGTATTGTGTTTACCAGTGTGTGGCAGCATGTATTGTGTTTACCAGTGTGTGGCAGCATTGTTGTGTTTACCAGTGTGTTACAGCATGTATTGTGTTTACCAGTGTGTGACAGCATGTATTGTGTTTACCAGTGTGTTACAGCATGTATTGTGTGTTCCAGTGTGTGGCAGCATGTATTGTGTTTATCAGTGCGTGGCAGCATGTATTGTGTTTACCAGTGTGTTACAGCATGTATTGTGTGTTCCAGTGTGTGGCAGCATGTATTGTGTGTTCCAGTGTGTGGCAGCATGTATTGTGTTTACCAGTGTGTGACAGCATGTATTGTGTTTACCAGTGTGTTACAGCATGTATTGTGTGTTCCAGTGTGTGGCAGCATGTATTGTGTTTACCAGTGTGTGACAGCATGTATTGTGTTTACCAGTGTGTGGCAGCATGTATTGTGTTTACCAGGGTGTTACAGCATGTATTGTGTGTTCCAGTGTGTGGCAGCATGTATTGTGTGTTCCAGTGTGTGGCAGCATGTATTGTGTTTACCAGTGTGTGACAGCATGTATTGTGTTTACCAGTGTGTTACAGCATGTATTGTGTGTTCCAATGTGTGGCAGCATGTATTGTGTGTTCCAGTGTGTGGCAGCATGTATTGTGTGTTCCAGTGTGTGGCAGCATGTATTGTGTGTTCCAGTGTGTGGCAGCATGTATTGTGTGTACCAGTGTGTGGCAGCATGTACTGTGTGTTCCAGTGTGTGGCAGCATGTATTGTGTGTACCAGTGTGTGACAGCATGTATTGTGTGTACAAGTGTGTAGTGTGTTTACCAGTGTGTGACAGCATGTACTGTGTGTTCCAGTGTGTGACAGCATGTATTGTGTGTACCAGTGTGTGGCAGCATGTATTGTGTGTACCAGTGTGTAGTGTGTTTACCAGTGTGTGGCAGCATGTACTGTGTGTTCCAGTGTGTGACAGCATGTATTGTGTGTACCAGTGTGTGGCAGCATGTATTGTGTGTACCAGTGTGTAGTGTGTTTACCAGTGTGTGACAGCATGTACTGTGTGTTCCAGTGTGTGACAGCATGTATTGTGTTTACCAGTGTGTGGCAGCATGTATTGTGTGTTCCAGTGTGTGGCAGCATGTATTGTGTGTACCAGTGTGTGACAGCATGTATTGTGTGTACCAGTGTGTAGTGTGTTTACCAGTGTGTGACAGCATGTATTGTGTGTTCCAGTGTGTGGCAGCATGTATTGTGTGTTCCAGTGTGTGGCAGCATGTATTATGTTTACCAGTGTGTGGCAGCATGTATTGTGTTTACCAGTGTGTTACAGCATATATTGTGTGTTCCAGTGTGTGGCAGCATGTATTGTGTGTTCCAGTGTGTGGCAGCATGTATTGTGTTTACCAGTGTGTGACAGCATGTATTGTGTTTACCAGTGTGTTACAGCATGTATTGTGTGTTCCAGTGTGTGGCAGCATGTATTGTGTTTACCAGGGTGTTACAGCATGTATTGTGTGTTCCAGTGTGTGGCAGCATGTATTGTGTGTTCCAGTGTGTGGCAGCATGTATTGTGTTTACCACTGTGTGACAGCATGTATTGTGTTTACCAGTGTGTTACAGCATGTATTGTGTGTTCCAGTGTGTGGCAGCATGTATTGTGTGTTCCAGTGTGTGGCAGCATGTATTGTGTGTTCCAGTGTGTGACAGCATGTATTGTGTGTTCCAGTGTGTGACAGCATGTATTGTGTGTTCCAGTGTGTGGCAGCATGTATTGTGTGTTCCAGTGTGTGGCAGCATGTATTGTGTTTACCAGTGTGTGACAGCATGTATTGTGTTTACCAGTGTGTGACAGCATGTATTGTGTTTACCAGTGTGTTACAGCATGTATTGTGTGTTCCAGTGTGTGACAGCATGTATTGTGTGTTCCAGTGTGTGGCAGCATGTATTGTGTGTTCCAGTGTGTGACAGCATGTATTGTGTTTACCAGTGTGTGACAGCATGTATTGTGTGTTCCAGTGTGTTACAGCATGTATTGTGTGTTCCAGTGTGTTACAGCATGTATTGTGTGTTCCAGTGTGTGGCAGCATGTATTGTGTGTTCCAGTGTGTGGCAGCATGTATTGTGTTTACCAGTGTGTTACAGCATGTATTGTGTGTTCCAGTGTGTGGCAGCATGTATTGTGTGTTCCAGTGTGTTACAGCATGTATTATGTGTTCCAGTGTGTGGCAGCATGTATTGTGTGTTCCAGTGTGTGGCAGCATGTATTGTGTTTACCAGTGTGTTACAGCATGTATTGTGTGTTCCAGTGTGTGGCAGCATGTATTGTGTGTTCCAGTGTGTTACAGCATGTATTGTGTGTACCAGTGTGTGGCAGCATGTATTGTGTGTACCAGTGTGTGGCAGCATGTGTTGTGTTTACCAGTGTGTGACAGCATGTATTGTGTGTTCCAGTGTGTGGCAGCATGTATTGTGTGTTCCAGTGTGTGACAGCATGTATTGTGTTTACCAGTGTGTGGCAGCATGTATTGTGTTTACCAGTGTGTGACAGCATGTATTGTGTTTACCAGTGTGTGACAGCATGTATTGTGTGTTCCAGTGTGTGGCAGCATGTATTGTGTGTTCCAGTGTGTGGCAGCATGTATTGTGTTTACCAGTGTGTGACAGCATGTATTGTGTTTACCACTGTGTGACAGCATGTATTGTGTTTACCAGTGTGTTACAGCATGTATTGTGTGTTCCAGTGTGTGGCAGCATGTATTGTGTGTTCCAGTGTGTGGCAGCATGTATTGTGTTTACCAGTGTGTTACAGCATGTATTGTGTGTTCCAGTGTGTGGCAGCATGTATTGTGTGTTCCAGTGTGTTACAGCATGTATTGTGTGTACCAGTGTGTGGCAGCATGTATTGTGTGTACCAGTGTGTGGCAGCATGTGTTGTGTTTACCAGTGTGTGACAGCATGTATTGTGTGTTCCAGTGTGTGGCAGCATGTATTGTGTTTACCAGTGTGTTACAGCATGTATTGTGTTTACCAGTGTGTTACAGCATGTATTGTGTGTTCCAGTGTGTGGCAGCATGTATTGTGTTTACCAGTGTGTGACAGCATGTATTGTGTTTACCAGTGTGTGGCAGCATGTATTGTGTTTACCAGGGTGTTACAGCATGTAATGTGTGTTCCAGTGTGTGGCAGCATGTATTGTGTGTTCCAGTGTGTGGCAGCATGTATTGTGTGTACCAGTGTGTGGCAGCATGTATTGTGTTTACCAGTGTGTGACAGCATGTATTGTGTTTACCAGTGTGTTACAGCATGTATTGTGTGTTCCAGTGTGTGGCAGCATGTATTGTGTGTTCCAGTGTGTTACAGCATGTATTGTGTGTTCCAGTGTGTGGCAGCATGTATTGTGTTTACCAGTGTGTGACAGCATGTATTGTGTGTTCCAGTGTGTGGCAGCATGTATTGTGTGTTCCAGTGTGTGGCAGCATGTATTGTGTTTACCAGTGTGTTACAGCATGTATTGTGTTTACCAGTGTGTGACAGCATGTATTGTGTTTACCAGTGTGTGACAGCATGTATTGTGTTTACCAGTGTGTGACAGCATGTATTGTGTTTACCAGGGTGTGACAGCATGTGTTGTGTTTACCAGTGTGTGACAGCATGTATTGTGTTTACCAGGGTGTGACAGCATGTGTTGTGTTTACCAGTGTGTGACAGCATGTATTGTGTGTACCAGTGTGTGACAGCATGTATTGTGTTTACCAGTGTGTGGCAGCATGTGTTGTGTTTACCAGTGTGTGACAGCATGCATTGTGTTTACCAGTGTGTGGCAGCATGTATTGTGTTTACCAGTGTGTTACAGCATGTATTGTGTTTACCAGTGTGTTACAGCATGTATTGTGTGTTCCAGTGTGTGGCAGCATGTATTGTGTTTACCAGTGTGTGACAGCATGTATTGTGTTTACCAGTGTGTGGCAGCATGTATTGTGTTTACCAGGGTGTTACAGCATGTATTGTGTGTTCCAGTGTGTGGCAGCATGTATTGTGTGTTCCAGTGTGTGGCAGCATGTATTGTGTGTACCAGTGTGTGGCAGCATGTATTGTGTTTACCAGTGTGTGACAGCATGTATTGTGTTTACCAGTGTGTTACAGCATGTATTGTGTGTTCCAGTGTGTGGCAGCATGTATTGTGTGTTCCAGTGTGTTACAGCATGTATTGTGTGTTCCAGTGTGTGGCAGCATGTATTGTGTTTACCAGTGTGTGACAGCATGTATTGTGTGTTCCAGTGTGTGGCAGCATGTATTGTGTGTTCCAGTGTGTGGCAGCATGTATTGTGTTTACCAGTGTGTGGCAGCATGTATTGTGTGTACCAGTGTGTGGCAGCATGTGTTGTGTTTACCAGTGTGTGGCAGCATGTATTGTGTTTACATACCGGAGAGCGTTGATCTTGATGAAGCCCCCTGCATCCGTTGGCTCGTAATCGCCCTGGACATTCATGCTGGAAACAAGACACAAGGATGAGTTCATTTTATTCACAATGCTTGTTGGGTATTTGTACAATTTATAACACAAGGCAACGGAGACTGTTATTACAAGCCTCAAGGCCTTCAAAAACTATATCACCAACATTTAAGGCTTATTCTAACTAAAAGTTCAAAAGGATGAAAAAAATATACTTAAATGTTATTAATATTTACAACATAAGGCCTTTGCAAGGCACAATTAATCTATTTTTAGAATTTAAATTCAAGGTCTTTTCAAGCCAGTGCAAGTTCTAAATATTGTGATAGGTGCCCTCTGAAGCCTGTAAAAAGCCGCCCACATACAGTAGAACTATATACATTGAGGACAAAATGTCTGATGTTTTACTGCAGTGGTTTGCCTTGTGTTCTCTTCTCCCTGCGCAGTATTCTTTTGTGTAAATGCTTTAGGAGGCTCCTGACCAGATTATCAATTCTAATTATAGATAAAACACAAAGAGTAAAGTTTTATTTAAAGTTTATTTTAACAACAACTACAACAACAACAACAACAACAACAACAACAACAACAACAACAACAACAACAACAACAGGGGGCAAACCTTCATTCACTTAATTTGCAGAAAACTACTTCCAACTTTCCCCCCCTTCCCTACATACGACAGTTAAACATTCTTCGCCCTTATAACCACCCCTCTAACTTAACTCCCTAAAGTAAAATGTCCCCAAACAAACCTAATTTAATCTTTTCTCTATTTCTCCCCACCCATAACTAACAGTAAATTAACAACATTATCCCAAACCAAAACACAAACAACTAATGAAAAGTGAAAAGGGTCTTGATTCACGATGTGTGGGTTGACTACATACTTTAGTGGTGAAAGGACTGAGGATTCCCTACCCAGGGTAGGCCAACATAGCCTACACGCGGACCATGTGACCAGGAAAATGGACACAACCAATGAACACGTCCCTAACATCTCGGCTCTCACAATCATGGCTTCAGCCTAGCCTTCAAGGAGTGTGCCATCGTCATTGTCACTACGCCCGTGTGGGTATAAGCTTCTACAAAAATGACTACAAAGGTAGGTACTACATCAGCTGCGCAAAATCCCCTTCAACTTACCAATCTGCTATATTTCTAACTATTTTAATTTACCAAAATAAATCCCAAGGCTACTACAATATTATCACATGTATTTTCTCAAATTCCTCCAAATAATTGTGGCAGATGTAACACTTGAATATATTTATTTTATCATTCATCAGTGTCTGCTATTTAATGTCTGCTATTCTGTGTTTCACTTCCATGTATTATAAGTGGTAAGGAACGTCTACATTTAGTTCATGTGTCCTTCATGTTTTAGCCTTTAACAAACCCAAGCCATCAACTGATTGGCCAAGCTAACCCTTAAAGTTAGCCCCTTGTCTTAATGCATTGTCTCAGTCTGCACAGACAACTTGTCAACAAACCATGGAAACTATGTTTACATATTGTATTGTATGTTACTGCATTTAAATGTTGCAGTATATTAAACATGTATATTAGAGTAAACTAAAAATGTTTAATATTATCTATAGTTTGGTAAACTAGGCGTAAAATTGTCAGCTTTTGAATGAATGAGACAGGAGTGTAAGTCTTGTTTTACGGAAAAGCCTATGTTAAAGATACTGCTGTGATTAGTTCTGCGTAATATACAGTAAGTAATCTGTGAGAGTAATGTTATGTTATGTAAATAGTATAGTTGTATTACTCGTTGTTATAGAAGTATAATATATATATATATATATGATATTATTCTGGAGACACTGCAGGACTGTGGTCGGGAAGACACCCATGTCTCACCCACAGTCGGGAAGACACCCATGTCTCACCCACAGTCGGGAAGACACCCATGTCTCACCCACACAGTCGGGAAGACACTCATGTCTCACCCACACAGTCGGGAAGACACCCATGTCTCACCCACAGTCTGGAAGACACCCCAGTCTCACCCACACAGTCGGGAAGACACCCCAGTCTCACCCACACAGTCGGGAAGACACCCATGTCTCACCCACACAGTCGGGAAGACACTCATGTCTCACCCACACAGTCGGGAAGACACCCCAGTCTCACCCACACAGTCGGGAAGACACCCATGTCTCACCCACACAGTCGGGAAGACACCCATGTCTCACCAACACAGTCGGGAAGACACCCCAGTCTCACCCACACAGTCGGGAAGACACCCATGTCTCACCCACACAGTCGGGAAGACACCCATGTCTCACCAACACAGTCGGGAAGACACTCATGTCTCACCCACACAGTCGGGAAGACACTCATGTCTCACCCACACAGTCGGGAAGACACCCCAGTCTCACCCACACAGTCGGGAAGACACCCATGTCTCACCCACACAGTCGGGAAGACACCCATGTCTCACCAACACAGTCGGGAAGACACCCCAGTCTCACCCACACAGTCGGGAAGACACCCATGTCTCACCCACACAGTCGGGAAGACACCCATGTCTCACCCACACAGTCGGGAAGACACCCATGTCTCTTCCACAGTCGGGAAGACACCCATGTCTCACCCACACTGTCGGGAAGACACCCATGTCTCACCCAGTCGGGAAGACACCCCAGTCTCACCAACACAGTCGGGAAGACACCCATGTCTCACCCACAGTCTGGAAGACACCCAAGTCTCACCCACACAGTCGGGAAGACACCCATGTCTCACCCACACAGTCGGGAAGACACCCCAGTCTCACCCACACAGTCGGGAAGACACCCATGTCTCACCCACACAGTCGGGAAGACACTCATGTCTCACCCACACAGTCGGGAAGACACCCCAGTCTCACCCACACAGTCGGGAAGACACCCATGTCTCACCCACACTGTCGGGAAGACACTCATGTCTCTTCCACAGTCGGGAAGACACCCATGTCTCACCCACACTGTCGGGAAGACACCCATGTCTCACCCACACAGTCGGGAAGACACCCATGTCTCACCCACACAGTCGGGAAGACACCCCAGTCTCACCCACACAGTCGGGAAGACACCCATGTCTTACCCACACCATCGGGAAGACACCCATGTCTCACCCACACAGTCGGGAAGACACCCCAGTCTCACCCACACTGTCGGGAAGACACCCATGTCTCACCCACACTGTCGGGAAGACACCCATGTCTCACCCACACCGTCGGGAAGACACCCATGTCTCACCAAGGGTAGGTATACTATCACATGTCGAGTCTGTTTTTGTGTAACATTAAATGTGTCACACCATAATTATCATAAGCTATTTCTATCATTACATAGGTATAAATGTACCAAGTATCCTGGTACCTATTAAGGAATGTGTTTGTTCATGTACACTGTCTAAGTGAAGATAAACTATACAAAATGAGACCTATAAAGCCGTAAGAAGATATTGGCACTAGGGTAGCTCTACGTCATCGTAAAAAATGATTAAATGTGATATTAATACAAACAAAAGGCCCCTTCTCAGGATTTTTTTTATGGCACCAATTCATGAACTCAGTCTTGATATGTTTCTCTTACATAAGCTAACATCAGTAGTTTCTGAGAAAACTTGTCCCCGTTGCAGCCACTATGCACTTTTTAAATTAACATGGATCAAGGGACATAACTGTGAATGCTCAAAATCTAACAACACGAAGCAAGGGAAGGAACTCTTGAAAATATTTTTGGGACCAATTTTCAAACACAGTTTTGACAAGTATCTCATAGATAAGCTTGGAAAGTTTCATTCATGTTACGTCAGTAGTTTCTGAGAAAACTTGTCCCATCTCACGCAGTATGCACTAATTAAGTTGAAGAGCACAGAGCAATGGCCACAACTCAAGTTTTCAAACTCATTTGAGATCAGGACCAGTTATATATCAGTGTTTACAATTTTATTTCACTAACTTAAATAGTTTTTGAAAAATTTTGTCACCTATGAGAAGCAGACTGACAGACAGAAGGACGGATGGAGGGATGGACTCCATTCCTTTATCCCCCGTCCCACTTCATGGCGCGAGATAACAATTATCCATCTACCAATACATTGTACACAGCTAATGTAATAGTAAAACTATTTATCATAGTCTACTGATATGTGCTGTTCATATTACTTATTATTCCTTTCCTATGTTTCAGGGTGTAAGACTTCAGCCCACATCTCCCCCTAAAAATATATATAATTATAAAGACTGAACAGCAATGAATTTGTATATAACTTTTGGAGAGGGCATAAGGGCAGAAGTCTTTCCTGCTAATAATGACCCTCTCTTATATAGTACTGGTGGAACAAGCATCATCTGTAGGTGTGTTTGTCAGGCTTTTACACTCACTGCCCTGCTACATAATGTCCCATTACGATTTGAAATGTTTCAGGTTCACAATGAATGTTTCTGTCTATTCTTTACAGAATACACAATGCCATTTAGAAAGTGGTAAAATGTAACAAATGTTATATTTGGGATGACACTTTCTTAGTAAAGTACAGATTCTCGTACTTTTTTGGGTTGAGTCCTGTCCGGGATTCGAACCCACACTTGCCAGAGTGAGGCAGCTAATCGCCAGCTCACAAAGTCAGCGATCTAACCTACTCAGCCACCGAGGCTTCCACAAAAATGAAAGTCTGACAACTGGTAGTCAAGATCACGTACTTTGAATACCCCTCTGACAAGTGTAAATTGGCACGGCTCCCATGGCCGAAAGCTATGAATACACAATGTTCGATTCCCGGACGGGACTCAACCCCAAAAAGTACTAGAATCTGTACTTTACTAAGAAAATGTCCTCCCAAATATAATATTCTTTACAGAGACAGAATTACAGTGCGACAGCTTGGTCTGACAACAAATCAGCTGACATACAAGTTGGAAATAAGAGCAAAAGGAGAAATTTACCTGACAAGTTCCTCATTGTAAAGTGAGAGAGGGGAAGTACGCCCCAGGATGTGCACAGCCCCCTTGTACAGCTTCACTGTGACTGTTCCATCAACATGCTCCTGGCTCTTGGCGATGCAGAAGCGAGTGAACTCGCATTCAGGGCTGAACCAGAAGCCTTCATGAACACAAACAGAAATCTGTCAAAAGCTGCTAACTCTGAGTAACTCACTTCGTCAAGTGAGGTCAGATCAACATGATTTATTGTTTACAGATTTTCTTGGTATATATGCCAAACAGCAAGTCCATCCATAGCACTGCATAGATACTCAAAAGCAAAACCATTGTCTACATGTCATTGTTGTGGTCTAAATGTCAGTGTTGTGGTCTACATGTCAGTGTTGTAGTCTACATGTCAGTGTTGTGGTCTACATGTCAGTGTTGTAGTCTACATGTCAGTGTTGTAGTCAACATGTCAGTGTTGTAGTCAGTGTTGTGGTCTACATGTCAGTGTTGTAGTCTACATGTCAGTGTTGTGGTCTACATGTCAGTGTTGTAGTCTACATGTCAGTGTTGTGGTCTACATGTCAGTGTTGTAGTCTACATGTCAGTGTTGTAGTCTACATGTCAGTGTTGTAGTCAGTGTTGTAGTCTACATGTCAGTGTTGTAGTCAGTGTTGTAGTCTACATGTCAGTGTTGTAGTCTACATGTCAGTGTTGTAGTCTACATGTCAGTGTTGTAGTCTACATGTCAGTGTTGTAGTCAGTGTTGTAGTCTACATGTCAGTGTTGTGGTCTACATGTCAGTGTTGTAGTCTACATGTCAGTGTTGTAGTCAGTGTTGTAGTCTACATGTCAGTGTTGTGGTCTACATGTCAGTGTTGTAGTCAGTGTTGTAGTCTACATGTCAGTGTTGTAGTCTACATGTCAGTGTTGTAGTCTACATGTCAGTGTTGTGGTCTACATGTCAGTGTTGTAGTCTACATGTCAGTGTTGTAGTCAGTGTTGTAGTCTACATGTCAGTGTTGTGGTCTACATGTCAGTGTTGTGGTCTACATGTCAGTGTTGTAGTCAGTGTTGTAGTCTACATGTCAGTGTTGTGGTCTACATGTCAGTGTTGTAGTCTACATGTCAGTGTTGTAGTCAGTGTTGTAGTCTACATGTCAGTGTTGTAGTCTACATGTCAGTGTTGTGGTCTACATGTCAGTGTTGTAGTCTACATGTCAGTGTTGTGGTCTACATGTCAGTGTTGTAGTCTACATGTCAGTGTTGTAGTCAGTGTTGTAGTCTACATGTCAGTGTTGTAGTCAGTGTTGTAGTCTACATGTCAGTGTTGTAGTCAGTGTTGTAGTCTACATGTCATTGTTGTAGTCTACATGTCAGTGTTGTAGTCTACATGTCAGTGTTGTAGTCAGTGTTGTGGTCTACATGTCAGTGTTGTGGTCTACATGTCAGTGTTGTAGTCTACATGTCAGTGTTGTAGTCTACATGTCAGTGTTGTAGTCTACATGTCAGTGTTGTAGTCAGTGTTGTAGTCTACATGTCAGTGTTGTAGTCTACATGTCAGTGTTGTGGTCTACATGTCAGTGTTGTAGTCTACATGTCAGTGTTGTAGTCTACATGTCAGTGTTGTGGTCTACATGTCATTGTTGTAGTCTACATGTCAGTGTTGTAGTCAGTGTTGTAGTCTACATGTCAGTGTTGTAGTCTACATGTCAGTGTTGTAGTCAGTGTTGTAGTCTACATGTCAGTGTTGTAGTCAGTGTTGTGGTCTACATGTCAGTGTTGTGGTCTACATGTCAGTGTTGTAGTCTACATGTCAGTGTTGTAGTCAGTGTTGTAGTCTACATGTCAGTGTTGTGGTCTACATGTCAGTGTTGTAGTCAGTGTTGTGGTCTACATGTCAGTGTTGTGGTCTACATGTCAGTGTTGTAGTCTACATGTCAGTGTTGTAGTCTACATGTCAGTGTTGTGGTCTACATGTCAGTGTTGTAGTCAGTGTTGTAGTCTACATGTCAGTGTTGTAGTCTACATGTCAGTGTTGTAGTCAGTGTTGTAGTCTACATGTCAGTGTTGTGGTCTACATGTCAGTGTTGTAGTCAGTGTTGTGGTCTACATGTCAGTGTTGTGGTCTACATGTCAGTGTTGTAGTCAGTGTTGTAGTCTACATGTCAGTGTTGTAGTCAGTGTTGTGGTCTACATGTCAGTGTTGTAGTCTACATGTCAGTGTTGTAGTCTACATGTCAGTGTTGTGGTCTACATGTCAGTGTTGTAGTCAGTGTTGTGGTCTACATGTCAGTGTTGTAGTCAGTGTTGTGGTCTACATGTCAGTGTTGTAGTCTACATGTCAGTGTTGTAGTCTACATGTCAGTGTTGTAGTCAGTGTTGTAGTCTACATGTCAGTGTTGTAGTCTACATGTCAGTGTTGTAGTCTACATGTCAGTGTTGTAGTCTACATGTCAGTGTTGTAGTCAGTGTTGTAGTCTACATGTCAGTGTTGTAGTCTACATGTCAGTGTTGTAGTCTACATGTCAGTGTTGTGGTCTACATGTCAGTGTTGTAGTCTACATGTCAGTGTTGTAGTCAGTGTTGTAGTCTACATGTCAGTGTTGTAGTCTACATGTCAGTGTTGTAGTCTACATGTCAGTGTTGTAGTCTACATGTCAGTGTTGTAGTCAGTGTTGTGGTCTACATGTCAGTGTTGTAGTCAGTGTTGTAGTCTACATGTCAGTGTTGTAGTCTACATGTCAGTGTTGTAGTCTACATGTCAGTGTTGTGGTCAGTGTTGTGGTCTACATGTCAGTGTTGTAGTCTACATGTCAGTGTTGTAGTCAGTGTTGTGGTCTACATGTCAGTGTTGTAGTCAGTGTTGTAGTCTACATGTCAGTGTTGTAGTCTACATGTCAGTGTTGTAGTCTACATGTCAGTGTTGTAGTCTACATGTCAGTGTTGTAGTCTACATGTCAGTGTTGTAGTCTACATGTCAGTGTTGTAGTCAGTGTTGTGGTCTACATGTCAGTGTTGTAGTCTACATGTCAGTGTTGTAGTCTACATGTCAGTGTTGTAGTCTACATGTCAGTGTTGTAGTCTACATGTCAGTGTTGTGGTCTACATGTCAGTGTTGTGGTCTACATGTCAGTGTTGTAGTCTACATGTCAGTGTTGTAGTCAGTGTTGTAGTCTACATGTCAGTGTTGTAGTCAGTGTTGTGGTCTACATGTCAGTGTTGTAGTCTACATGTCAGTGTTGTAGTCTACATGTCAGTGTTGTAGTCTACATGTCAGTGTTGTAGTCTACATGTCAGTGTTGTAGTCAGTGTTGTAGTCTACATGTCAGTGTTGTGGTCTACATGTCAGTGTTGTAGTCAGTGTTGTAGTCTACATGTCAGTGTTGTAGTCTACATGTCAGTGTTGTAGTCAGTGTTGTAGTCTACATGTCAGTGTTGTAGTCTACATGTCAGTGTTGTAGTCTACATGTCAGTGTTGTAGTCTACATGTCAGTGTTGTAGTCTACATGTCAGTGTTGTAGTCAGTGTTGTAGTCTACATGTCAGTGTTGTAGTCTACATGTCAGTGTTGTAGTCAGTGTTGTAGTCTACATGTCAGTGTTGTAGTCTACATGTCAGTGTTGTAGTCTACATGTCAGTGTTGTAGTCTACATGTCAGTGTTGTGGTCTACATGTCAGTGTTGTAGTCTACATGTCATTGTTGTAGTCAGTGTTGTAGTCTACATGTCAGTGTTGTAGTCAGTGTTGTAGTCTACATGTCAGTGTTGTAGTCTACATGTCAGTGTTGTAGTCTACATGTCAGTGTTGTAGTCTACATGTCAGTGTTGTAGTCTACATGTCAGTGTTGTTGTCAGTGTTGTAGTCTACATGTCAGTGTTGTGGTCTACATGTCAGTGTTGTAGTCAGTGTTGTGGTCTACATGTCAGTGTTGTAGTCAGTGTTGTAGTCTACATGTCAGTGTTGTAGTCTACATGTCAGTGTTGTAGTCTACATGTCAGTGTTGTGGTCAGTGTTGTGGTCTACATGTCAGTGTTGTAGTCTACATGTCAGTGTTGTAGTCAGTGTTGTGGTCTACATGTCAGTGTTGTAGTCAGTGTTGTGGTCTACATGTCAGTGTTGTGGTCAGTGTTGTGGTCTACATGTCAGTGTTGTAGTCTACATGTCAGTGTTGTAGTCTACATGTCAGTGTTGTAGTCTACATGTCAGTGTTGTGGTCTACATGTCAGTGTTGTAGTCTACATGTCAGTGTTGTAGTCAGTGTTGTGGTCTACATGTCAGTGTTGTAGTCTACATGTCAGTGTTGTAGTCTACATGTCAGTGTTGTAGTCAGTGTTGTAGTCTACATGTCAGTGTTGTAGTCTACATGTCAGTGTTGTGGTCTACATGTCAGTGTTGTAGTCTACATGTCAGTGTTGTGGTCTACATGTCAGTGTTGTGGTCTACATGTCAGTGTTGTAGTCTACATGTCAGTGTTGTAGTCTACATGTCAGTGTTGTAGTCAGTGTTGTAGTCTACATGTCAGTGTTGTGGTCTACATGTCAGTGTTGTAGTCTACATGTCAGTGTTGTAGTCTACATGTCAGTGTTGTGGTCTACATGTCAGTGTTGTAGTCTACATGTCAGTGTTGTAGTCAGTGTTGTGGTCTACATGTCAGTGTTGTAGTCTACATGTCAGTGTTGTGGTCTACATGTCAGTGTTGTGGTCTACATGTCAGTGTTGTAGTCTACATGTCAGTGTTGTAGTCTACATGTCAGTGTTGTAGTCAGTGTTGTAGTCTACATGTCAGTGTTGTGGTCTACATGTCAGTGTTGTAGTCTACATGTCAGTGTTGTAGTCTACATGTCAGTGTTGTGGTCTACATGTCAGTGTTGTAGTCTACATGTCAGTGTTGTAGTCAGTGTTGTGGTCTACATGTCAGTGTTGTAGTCTACATGTCAGTGTTGTAGTCTACATGTCAGTGTTGTAGTCTACATGTCAGTGTTGTGGTCAGTGTTGTAGTCTACATGTCAGTGTTGTAGTCAGTGTTGTAGTCTACATGTCAGTGTTGTAGTCTACATGTCAGTGTTGTAGTCTACATGTCAGTGTTGTGGTCTACATGTCAGTGTTGTAGTCTACATGTCAGTGTTGTAGTCTACATGTCATTGTTGTAGTCAGTGTTGTAGTCTACATGTCA